AAGGCATAACACTAACCCGAAAATCGGAAACCATTAGCCGGTACCCTAAGCCTAACCTCAAACCTCAAACGGAAGCCAAATGTGTCAGATGTGATTATGGAGCCCCACAAAATATCCCCAGTAAAAAAACGCCCCAGCCACCTGTAATGCTTGTCCGGGCTACCAGTTGCCATCTAGCCCTTGTTTTAATTAATTTTTTTATATGCATGCTTCTCCGGGGATTTAATTGCTGTAGACACAGTTGCTGGCATAGTGTAGTTTACTACTGTCATGGACACACAAGCCTCGAATTGATCTTGATTGTATCCTATAGTGGGAATTTTCCTGACCTAGACAGCTCTTGCCTGTCTGGGCTTTAGACTGAAAGTGCGTCAGAAATATTTCCTTATTCCCTATTGGGAATCCCGATAGTTGATTTAGAGATGAATGAATGAAAGTTGAACCGCCTACATGAATCATTCGATTGCGCCCTCTTTGTTTTCGGAATCCCCCAAAAGAAGCCCTAAACATGAAGCTATTATGAAATTATTGGTGCGCATTTTAAGCACAACTGACCTGCCTTCTGATAAGAACATGATACACCTATTAGCATAAAATACCTGGGTACGTTTCTCTCCCAATCACTATTCAGTCCGCAAACCATGTATAAAACATCGGAATAAGGCCTTTTTCGACACTGGACGCTTAAAACTAAAAAAACAGTGTTGCTGTCACAGAGTTTAACCCAACGAACACCAAAGGCAATTAGATGGGAGAACGAAAGAAACAATGCGGCCTCTACGGCCCTCCCACTTCCTGGGATCCGAACCAGCACTCCTCTCTTCTTGTTTGGTAAAATCGTCGTCATCACGTTGACCGGAGTTTGTTCAGACCTCGGGCATTTATCTAGTTTTGTGCCTCAGATGAGAAATGATTGCATTAGTCAGAGACGACTGGCTAACGTGTTGTAACGAGATAACATTTGACTTCTGCTTCAGACAGTTACGCGGAGAATGACGCGCAAAGCATGTTGTTTCGCGTTACTCCATGAGGGGTAGAGGGCAGATCTAATAAAATGTGCCCAGCGAGGGGGCTGTGCGCCACGTGAAGTGGTGTGTGTCGAGTTATCTCGATCTTATGATGGAGAGTAACATTTGTGCATGTTACAGCAACCTGGGATGGGATGTCATTGGATGATGACGGCAAAAAATGACAATTGCAACGCTCCTTCTTTGGCCCAGCAAACTTCCCATTACGTGCGGTCATCAGACAATCCTACATTTCGAGATCTATCCGATGAAAGTTCACTAACTGGGCACTAAGAGCATTGTAGCGCAAGAACCGCTCGCCCCACATCCACAAAAGAAACGACCGATATTCAGAAGAAGACACAGGTTGGTTTATGCAGTATTAATTATTAGCTAAGAAAAAAAATGTCTTTTTTTAAAGAACCATCAAATCGAAGAACGCCTTAATGACAGGCCAATTATCTGAGGCCTAATGTAACTACCGGCAGAGAATTAAAATATCACAACGGCAACGTGACGAAAAACAATAGCGAATACAACGTACTGGTTCTCTGTTAATTGTCCTTTTGCTTTTAGATTTGCTGCAAGTCGTGAGGACGTAGAAAAGATTAAGTTGTCTAAAGTAGTTTGGTCTATACAATTATTAAGTATAAAATCTAGCTTTTGTGACATTGGAACGTGTTTTCTCTCACTGTTTCGATTCTCTTTGGTTAGTGCAAAGAGTTCTTCGATCGGATTGAGGTGCGGGCTATTAGCGGGGATTAAATGGCTTCACAGGTCGCAGACGATGAGGCTGCCGGTGGTCTAAAAAATTAGATTACAGTCGTCAGCTGTGAACAGGGGGATAATCCTGCAACATCACTGTGTCCATTTGACGTTGATGAATGTCGTTTAAGCCGAAGGCATCCTTTGGGATGTCGACGAGCACCTTGCATTTATTGTCTCCATTGGTGAACTCCAGATTGGTCGCCCTTCGAATTTGATAGTTATCCAAAGCATCAGGTGTTGACAGTTTTTGAAAGTTAGACTAGATCGCCGTTGGTAGCCAGGAATGGGAAAGCGGATGGCGACCTAATCCAAACCTTAACCCTAACCTCAACCTTAAATGCTAACCGTCAACCTAAACGGCAACCCTAACCCTAACCGAAATCGTAAACGCAACCTTAAACAAAGCCGTAACTGGAAAACCTGACAGTAATCCTGGAAACCTAATCGTACGCTCAAATCCCAACCGTAATCCGAAAACCTAAGCCTAAAGGCATAACCTTAACCCGAAAATCGGAAATCATTAACCGGTACCCTAATGATAACCTCAAACGTAAAACGAAAGCAAAATGGGTTAGATGTGGTTATAGAGCCCCACAAAATAGCCCCAGTAAACAAATCCCCCTCCACCTTTAATACGGGGCCTGGCTACCAATCGCGATCTAGCCGAAAGTTACTGCCGATGCAGTGTGTTTCGCTGGGGAGTTATCCCCACATATGACCACCTGGATCGAATTCGGAGACTTGTCTAAAGATGAGATCTCATCACAAAAGTAAATGCTCTCCTAGAATGAAAGTGTGTGTGATGAGTATATTATTGTGCAAACAAAAAATATTCTCCAGTGTGTTACCTACTTAAAAGGGGGTTTGTCATGGTGTCTTGCTGATGGAGGCTGAATTCTTTCACCCTTTTTCTAATTCCACACAGATATTCCCTGTGAATGGCCTTAAGTGGCATAAAATGATACTTTTCTGGTGCCGTACGAATAAAATCGTCGTTTTGCTTGCATGTGGACCGTTTTGGTCTACCTTGCTTAATTCTAGGCACTGCTATATCATCAATAACTCTCCATAGAGTGGCCTGACTAACAACTAAAGACATTGGCTAACGACTCATGCGGCAGTCCTTCGGCTGTCAATCATCCTACGCGCTCAAAATCGACGTCTGCAAAGAAGTTCATCGATATCTTCATCACACAACGTTGCAGAAAAGTGACAACATGTCACGATTACTAAGTCTACGCTTGTCTACGCTTACCAGTTTTCGGTGTGGTAAAACAAGCTACAATCAAACAGGTTTATTAGCACATCTTATGGTATAGAAAGTCTTAAATTTGCAGAATAGAATTTTTAAAGTTCAACTTCCTCTTTGTTTTTGGGAACAATGCAATTTCGCTAATCTGAATTCACCTGACTTTCATGGACGCAAAATCCCCTTTTCCGTTTTCTGATAGAATTTACTTGAAATTGTTTCGTTTGTGTTAATTTTCTTTGAGCTACAATGCACACAAATAAGAGGCATTGATGCATGATACTTAATAACGCTGGAAACTACTTTGATATCGGGAGACGCCTGATTTTGCCCAGTCTTGGTCTGCTTGTGGCCTCATGTGCCTCAAGCCAATTCAGTAAACAAAAATAACCGCACCAAATGCACCCGGTAATATCCTCTCCACGACATTTCATGAGCTAGGTCATCAATCGTAGATGGTCAGCATGAACTGAAGGAGATGGGAAGACTGGGTGCCCTTTTTGACGCTGGGGGCGGTTACGTTGAGTTCGGAAACAGGACTAGCGTAATCCCTCCTCGATCGCGGGGTTGCGCTCGAGAATCCCCCGCGAAAAAGTAAAAATCCGCAAGGTGAAAAGCATGCATGTTTTCGTGGTTATTTTTGTATGCATTTTAGTACTTATCTCGTTTTACGTCGCACTGAATGGAGAGGAGAAACGATTGCGCTAGTCGGAGATGTCAGGTTAGCATGCTGCGGCAAGTTAATTTTTGTCCTCTTTGCTACTGGAGGCTAAGAGGCGCGTGCCAGGAAGTAGTCGTGATAAAGGAGACACCATCGCTGGAACAAGATTCTTATCAGCCTGACGTTCCGGAGTTTCACTCAAATTCATCATCAGAGACAGAGTCAGACAGTTTGGCTTGCTACCCACTGGCGGAGAATGAATCGCAAAACATTTTGTGTCCCGTTGACGCTAGACGGTAACTAATAGTTAATAGTAGACTGTGGCTAATTTAGGAGGGAAGGCGCCTATTTTGCTTTAATTCAAAGTAGCGGTAAAAACTACGCAAAAACACAGTGACCCGAATAAAAACGAATAAACTTAATAATGGTTAACAGTGAGATAAAAAATTCCAATGCATTGGGAAAAGTTGGACTGCATGCTCTGCTCTACGAGGAAATGAATGGCGGATTCTTCGTACATCGGCCTTTACTGGGTAATATGACGGAGATAGCGTCTGATTGAACAGAATGACTTCACAGCAGTATGGTCAAGATTAAGGCAATGTAAAATGTGATCACCGAGAGGCCTGACTGCTGAAAAATATCGTCCAGCGGTGCCATAACATGTGAGGCGGCGTGTACTTGATTATCGTAATCGAACGGCAGAAAGTATCCAGCAACCAGAAGTTGGATAGCAAATGGGCAAGAAATGATCACAGCAGTCTTCCTGTTTTTGTTCACAGATTCCCTCTCGCACGCAGTCATCGGGCAACCTTAGATCATCGGCATAAAGTGGAAGAATATCGGAGGGCAGAATAGCATTTCAGAAGAATAGGTTTGGAATTGAAGACTTTGTTAAATCGAGCACAGAAAGGGAACTACTTTGCAGCTCGAAAAACAAGCCAGCTAGTGAAACGGCACTTAAATTTTTTTGCAAACTGAGTGTCTCGCGAGCAAAATTGTACGATGACCAGCAAGTCATGAGGGCATGATGAATAGTTTTCAAGATACTGCATTCAAAAAGTGTTTAGTGTTCCGCAGACTGCCGCGTGGCAAGAGTATGATTTATGGACAGGGCCACTTACTCTGGGGAGCAATTGTGTTGAGCAAAAAATTGAACATCTAGGGACTTTGTGATATCACACATTTCGATCCTCCTTATTGTCACTAGTTACAATTGGGCACCATTTTTGCCCTTTAATGACAATAGTGAATGAATTTAATGCTCCTTTGCAGCATTGTCAAAACGGCATTGCATTGTTGTATTTTCGCTCCGATGACCACCTCAAAGCCTTTTGATCACCTTCACACAACAACCACCGCGAGGTCTTTCATTTCTTCTCTGGCAGATACAAATAAATATCGCCAGTTTCTTTCTTTTGGCGAAATTGCTCCCCGAAGTAAGGAACCTCCGCCACAAACCATACCCATTCCCCCCAACATCCTTTCTGCTGCACACCTTGCAGTCAATTTAGCTAAATTAACTTTCTCCTCCTCCTCCTCCTCCTCCTCCTCCTCCTCCTCCTCCTCCTCCTCTTAAGCTCACACCTAATGACATTACGTTTCCTCAGCCGTGTCTTTCGTTCGCGGTGCACTTCAGTGGGGTTGCAAAACCAAGCAAAAAAACTCCAAGTTGTTTCTCCCACTGCAAAAGGAGTTTATTTCGGGCATTTTAGAAGGAGGCCCCCTGTTAATTTGTATTCCTGCGTTGTTTTTCATTGTGATCACTGTAAAAGATGCACGACTATCCGCTTCTGGTATCCATCTCGTTGAAATACCGTTTTATGCAAATAAGAACTCATGCCTGGAGGGAGATGGTTACTTCGGTTTTTAAAAATTTGTGATTATGGGGACTAGCGAGAATCGTCCATGGTCATTCGTATGCTCTAATTTTTGCAAATGTCACTCTCGAAGTAAGCAACTTAACTTATTTAAGTTACAAAGTTATCTGACCGTCAGGATTCTTCTTAATGAGAGACAGAAACGCTAGGAGACGTCATCGCTTAGAAAATGCATGGCACGTACTTTGTGAGATTTTAGGGCGCGTAGAAATGCGGGGTACATTTCAAAACATACAGGTATCAGCCAGCATTTTCAGGACAGATGAGCTCCACTACTTCAAAAGTAAGTTACTGTTTATGAGATGATCCAATAATTGAGGTAGTTACTCTGATTTAGGTCTATTAAGGAGCCCAAAAGAGTAGTCATTCCTTCATGTATTCATTCATTCCTTGTGAAACGTTACTGCCAGGAATTTGCGTCATTAGAATGGCCGCACCTGGGTTACTGACTTTTACCGGTTAATGCCAGTCAACGCCGAGCTGAGCGCCATTCTCATGCGATTTTGCACGCATTCTGTTTTGTAGTCTCACATTGGTAGCATCTTCGATTCGAAAACCCCTTAAGAATTTTAGTCAAAGTTTCCTGAATATCTGTGAGTGCGGTATAGCATTCTTCATGCAAATTCCTTTTCCGTTTTTGACTCAGTCGGCCATCAGGACGAATTTTTCGCTCAACAAAGCGGCTGCATCGGAAAATCTCGAACGATGGAGATGAGAGCTTCCAGTCATGCATTTTCAACGGAACAAGCATATACTCGTCCGCTAGATTTCCACCAGCGCGTGCTTCCCATAGCAACGGATAACTCATGGCTGTTGTTCAAACGGTACTGTGTCGAGGGCGCGCGCTCATCAAGAAAAATTGCGTCGAGTTCCAGCATGACACGTCTACCTCAGCAACAGACCTCTCATTCCCCAGTCACGGAAATCGGCGCCTCCACCGCCCAGGCCGCCTACTTCTCGCGGTCAGCTACATAACTATTACACCATGCCTGGCAGCAGCCGAGCAACCGTGGAGGGCACCGTGACAACGGCCAGAATCAGCGTCACCGAGACTTCGGTAGGGCTTTGATCACAACTCCGCAGCCAACTTGTCCGCCTGACGCACACACACACACAGCCACCCACGCACACCTGCGTAATTGCACTCAGTTAACCACACGATGTGCCTTCCTCTGCCCTTTGCACCCACACGCTTTTCACACCCCTACACCCTGCTGTCTTTCAACGGACTCTGCTCTTGAATGAACTGAGCTATATCCGGTTGCGCGCAATCTGCAGAGTTTGTAGTAGTCATTCTGCAGAGTGAATCAGCGAGGTCAGCTTAGCTAAGTAAGTAGGTATTTAACTGGGCAAAGTATTCTGTCGTTGCTAAAACAAGAAGTTTTGCTTGTTTTTTTTAAATGGGTTGACTGAAGATCGCATGAAACACCTGCACTAGGCTGCTGTCTAATCCTCCCCACCTTCGTATTGGTCTTCCTATGATCGAACATGTGTCCGAGAGCTCTCGACATTTGTCATCAGGTTTTGGAGCTTGTTTGTGCTGAAAAGCTAAACTGACCGGCGTGCGCAAGCCCCAATGCACACAAGTACCGTATCGGCCTTGCCAAATAATGAGGATTGTGTGGGGGTTGAATGAACTTCAGTCGACATCCGGTTAGACTTTGCCCGTAAACCATATGCGCATTTGTGCATTTTCAGTCCTACTGATCCACCATAACTGAAACAAACGTGGTTCAGCCAGAAAGGTGGAACGGTTATCATCGCCGATGGTGTTTTACAGCTCGCTCCTGGAAGGCAGCTTGTTTGCGTGCGGTCCAGAGAAGTCGCTAAGCGGCCCGCTCCTTATGGACGAGTTTCACGTTTTCTACGACAGCATCTTTTTTGGAAATGCTGTTCCTACTCCCACCGACACCTCCGAGTATCTTATTTTTGAGTGGACTTCCTACTAACTGTTTACGTTTATATGCTGCCTGAAAAAAAACTTTACAAGCAAAATAGCTCTACTTGAATTACTTCTGCTGCTATGACCAATAATACGAGGTTGTTACCGGTGTCTTTTTCAGGAAGCTAATGCCTCGTCACCGCCTTGTTTGTTAGCTTGGTCAGTTACGAGTAGATGATTTCAGTCTGCGAACGATGACAGATGATCAATTTAAATGCCTGATATTTTTGTGAGGCCTTCAGTCACTTTGCAATACTGAAATCGGAAGCTGTCTGTTCAGTAGCATTGAACAAGGCCCCGACTCCACCATAAGGATACTGACTGCCGAATGCCGGTGACTCAAAATTTTAACTATGGTTTTATCATTGTGGAGCAGCCCAGTTCTGCGCTTGCCCTCACCAATACGCAAGCTGTCACCAACACAAATTCGATGCCACCATACAAGCCCCAGATCTTGACGTTCAAAAAACCCCCACCAGCATGTTGGCAATTTGGTGACTGGTATTCGGCTCGTTTTTCTCCATTCATTCAGCACGTTTGTCGTAAGTGGCAAAAGTGGGGAGCATGAGGAAGACTACTGTCCAGCTGACCACTTCTTCGAATCAAGGCAGAAAATATTCTGTGTACCTGCGGAGACCTCAGAGGTACGCAGGCCTATGTGTAGATCGCTCGAGCCCTGTACTTCCGCATGATAAATGACCACTTTCCTGGGCTTGCTGTTGAGGGAGCGGTTAGGAAGCTACAAAGAGAGTGAAAATATTTTTATAAGAAGACGGCAATTAGCCAAATGGAAATTTAGGACATGCTCAGGTATCCAAACGCCGCCCACCGCTTAGGGAGGGTTTTATTTACTCCGTCAGCCGGCAGCTGGATGCAAGTGAACAAGAACCCAAAGAGGACTGATGCCTGTTGCAGTTCGGAGTCGAACTCTCCACCACCTTAAGTGACGTCTGGCTCTCTGCCATTGTACCGTAATCTCTAAGTTGCGCAATTTTTCGATGTTCGCTTGCACCTGTAACACACATAAAACAAACCTGATGTAGCCTGAGGTACCTCGTCTGATGCCATGCAAAACCGACGTCACCAAGACAGAAGGAAAAGAAATAGTCAGATGAAACCTATTACCTGTCATCTTAACAAGTAGCGTTGGCTATTGATGAAGACCACACAAGTGGAAGACAGGTCACGGATGAAGGAAGTTGCTAAATCCGTCGGTTTATGCATAAACACTGGGAAGGCCAGAGTGTTTTAGAGTTGCATTCCTGACCGGGAGAAGACACTCCTGGGAATCAGTGGTTATCAGCTTTAAGAAGTAGACAGTTTCAAATACCTTGGGGGCGAGGCTGCCGTCAAATTGACAGAGCGAGAACGACATCGTCTCTCGAACTGATACTGCTCCCAGAGTCTCCACTCGACGCGACATCTCCGTGTTTCTGATCGGGCAGTCTCCCTATATACATATATATATATATATATATATATATATATATATATATATTAAAGGTATTATACCGTACTCCCGACCTAGATACTTGCTAAAAGCCCAGACACGTGTTTCGCCGATATTCTGCCGCTGCGTGACACAGCTGCGAGGGGTTCGGCTCTTCAGTGGGACCCCCAGCGTTCTCTAGCGGTTTCCGGTATATGAACTCCAGAGAATAATCAGGTGAATAATTTCGGAAATTAATCAGTGCAGAACTTGGAGTTAAATCTCCGGGACATGACTTTTTAGGGTCAGAACCGAAATTTCAATGAACATATATATATATATATATATCCTGATAAAAGATTAGACGGCAGCAAATATTCGTAAGGTCCTTTCCGTACTGTGTGGCATTTCCCAACTCACTAATTGAGGTCCTTGCGATAAATCTCGTTGTTATGCACACATTCAAAGAATTAGGGAGAGACTGCACCATACTAACCCCAAATCCATGTTTCCGTGAATTGCGTTTAATTTCCATACGGAGATTTGTGAGCATCTCTCATTTCTAGATCTCCTCTTTCATCCAATGACCGATAGGTCAATTTATGCAACACTTTATTGCAATTAGGCCTGCAGAGAGGCTGGCCCGCATTACAAGTACAACCATCCTCTCCCCCACAAAGCGATTTCTATTGCAGCCTGTTAAATCGGATCGATATGTACTGCTTCCACGAAGAATGCTGACGATAAGAAGTGGAAAACATTTCAAATTATTAATCTAGAATGGATACCGACCTGAGACATCAAGAATTAAGGAAAAGTGCATTTCAAGCACAATGTCCGCCCAAATGTCAAGACCATTCAGCTGACTAATTCGTTCCTATGTGCAAAATGCGCAATAACCTGTCGAATGCGACCTGACAAATACCAGATGAATGTAGCCCAAAAATTTGCAAATTCTTTGTGCACCCAGTTTGCCTATCCTAAGGACAGGTTATGCAATTTCTATGGGAAAGAACTCACTTACAAAATCCCGAATGTCAGCCGTTATGTAAACTGCTGTGACCAGCCTGGAAGATCTGCCTACAGACGCACGCACGAACACCACCTAGCGATGAGAAGTCGAAGCCATTCAACACAGATGGCCATAAACACACTGTATGGGAGAGAGTTTGAATCCTTTGCGCTTGCTCAACAGGAAATGGAAGTCTGTTCCCAAAAGCAATGCATTCGTGCCAGGCATGCGTTAATAAGGAAATCCATTTAGATATCGCATGGTAAGTGATTAGGGCAAATTAGGACGTATACAGACACTACCGGCAAGGTCACGG